CGGCTGGTCTCCGGTGCGCACCCGACGCAACAGCGACGCTGCGTCCGAGATGTCGTGTGCGTGGTAGACTTGCACTCGTCTCGTTATTATCATCTGTACTTTTCCAGCCTAGAAAAATAAAGCCCAGGAGGTTTGGAGTGACATGACGACAGAATGATCATTTTTGAGCGAACTGTCCCTTTAAATTATGTAAAGGCTCGTTCAATAAAGATATGGTTCTAAATATCATTATAAATACAAAGGATTAGCAGAGTCCACACCAGAACTATAGTGAGAACGATATTTCTGGAATCACTTTTTGATCGTTTTCCCTCCAGCTGATCAACCATAAAAACATCGGCAGCCAATCAGAAGAGCGCACACGCGGCAGAATGATAATCAGAACCATATCATTATCTTTATAGTTATCGTTCTCTGTGTGAACGAGCCTTTAATATTACCATTCTCATATTCATAAACATTTATGCAATAAATCCGCCATAATAAAAACAGTGTTACAAACTTATCTGTGGCTGTATCGATGAAGATGATGATGATGATGCACATAATTTAAAGACTAAACACCAAGTATTTTCATACCACTCTCAAAGTTGCTTCAATATATTCTGTTTTAATATTGCATCATGTTTGTTTTAGCTTTATTTTCCCGCTCTCTGTCAGAGTGCCGAAGTGATGACGTCACTTTGTAGGACAACTCGGAAGCTAGCGGCGCATGGGTTCCCTCGGTCGAAAAGCAGTGCATTTTCCCCATAGACTTTTGGAAAATCGCAAAAAAAATAAGATTTGTGTTTAACAAAGGGTTGTGACCCTTACACGTTTTGTCTAGCAAGATAATCTTTACAAGTTAATCCAAAATGTAGCCTATACATTTTGAAGCCTATAAAGATTAAAAAAACACAATCAGACAGAATAAAGTTTACAATAAAAAAACACAAGCAGGTTATAACTGTGTGTTCTATGTCATAGATCAAAACGTGAAAATATTTAGAGGCTTTGTTCACCACAGACCTTATTTCAGGCGATTTAGCAAAAACCCATTCAAGAATCCCAAAGGCTTTAGAGCGAGGGAACCGTAATGCTAAAATGCTAACTCACTTCCGCGTTTTGGCCTACAGAGTGACGTCGTAACTTGGGCGGGGCATCAAACAGGAAGTTGACACTGAAATACATGAACAGAGGAAAATTACATTAGCTTTTTTTTTTGCTGATTTCATAATTAGGTCCTAAAATAGTCGTAGCTTCAACCTTTTGATGGAAACACGATGATGCACTAGTGATAGAAAATCAGTAGAAAATGGGTTAAAATCGTGTGTGTGTGTGTGTGTGTGTGTGCGTACCACTAGAGGGCAGGAGAATCCGTGGAGTCCTCTCATCTCTGAGTGGATAATATGAATGAGAGCGTGTGTGTGTGTGTGTGTGTGTGTGTGTGTGTGAGAGATCTGTTCCTCTTCTTCTTGAATGGCTCTGGCTCAGGTCCAGCTCTCTCGAGGTTAATGTCGCTCTTCTCGTCTGTCTAATGAAGTGTGTTCCTCTTCTTCTCACATCGAGAGCATCTGGAGATCATGGAGCTTCACAACACTTCACTGTTCCTCATCTACATATGTACTCATTAGATTAATTACATTAACTAGGGAGTAGTGACTAATCCTAAAGCTAACCTTGGTTCAACACGATGATGACAGAATTTTCATTTTTGGGTGAACTGTCCCTTTAAATCACACTACACATGTCTGAATGCCTCGTGTGTCGCGTATACCAAAGCCCATATCTCAGTGTTTACTGTAAAAAAGACGCATTTGTCATCAGAAACGCTAAAAGATAAAGACAGACATGTGTGGTGTTGTTAATGTGGAGTTTATACATCAGCAAACCTGACTCAAGCACTGATCTGAGGATCTGAGACTCGCTCACAACAAGATCATTTATTTAGTAAAAGTACAAATATGTACAGTACAGGAGAACAAATCAAGGGCAGCTGATCCCTTGAATATGGCATGTGTCATTACAGTACTTTAGTTGGTATCCCAGAAAATAATGATTCGAATTAACATTCATGGTTGAAACAGATCCGGGTCACACTCATCATGTTCATATCGCACAGAAGATGACCATTCAATGCGCGACAAATCACAACAACAACAACACGTGTCTTTTGACTTTGGATGTTCTTCTTTCCATTCACAATGCTGTGGATGTTTTCAAAATTAAAATACATATATGCAAGAAAGAGGCCGCACTATGTATTGTGCAAAATAAACTGTTTTGCATTGTGCGGCCTCTTTCTTGAATATATGTATTCTACTTATCAGGCCAGCACTCTTAAAATAAGTGTAATTATTGAGTGAAGCCTGCTCCAACCTCCATTCATTCATGTTTTCAAAGTAAAACCAGAAAATAAAATTGTAAACACTATAGACATAAAAAAGACAAACATTTGAACCATTCAAAATGAAAACAGAAATCCAAAATACATCTGAAAAAAAACAAAAACTATATAGACATTTAAAAAAACTACTTAAAATGACTAAAGTTTGAACTAAAATGAAAATAAAGGCAGAAAATACAAAAATAAAACAATCTGAATTAAACATTTATAGACTATGTAGACATTTAAACAAATATTTAAAAAAAATACTATGAACTAAATATCAAAATTAGAAATTAATGAAAAAAAATAATCATATAAAAAAAAGTACTAAAATTTGAAAAACAAGAATGAAATGAAAATACAAGGAGAATATCTAAACCTGAAATACAAATGAATACAAACTATATTAAAAACTATTAGAGTACTGTAATTGCTGTTGCAGGAAATAATGATTCGAAACATTCATGCAGAGATCCGGACCACATTCATGTTCATATCGCGCAGAAAATAATGCATGAGAAATTACCATTATAATTCTTGCACAATGCTGTGTGTGTGTGTGTGTGTGTGTGTTTAACACGGGCCTAAACTCAAGCCAGACAACAGGACACACACTTTCTCTTCCGTTCCGAGCAACTTCCTCCGAGAGACTGTCGCTTCTGCAGGAGAATAAGAAGTGAAAATGACACACACACTTAGTCATTTAGCAGATGCTTTTATCCAGCTTGCATCCATTAAAAGTCACCAAAACTGATTCAACGTTTGGACAAAAGTGCCTGCCTCCGACTATTGGACAGGATGGACATTGTGCATTTCTATTGGCCATGTTTCTGCATTCACTCACACAAATACTTGTTTGATATATATCTTCATGGAACATAATCATGACACCCGTGCGACTCGGGACTGTGTTTGTGGTCCCGCTATCGGGCCGAGGCCCAGCTGAAGGTGCCGATGGACAGCAGCGTCTGGCAGGCGCCGGACGGGACCCACACCGCCTCCATCAGCCCCGAGTGCAGGAAGCCCAGAGCGAAGCCGCAGGACACGTCACTCAGGTGGTTCTGGCCCAGCAGGACCCGCGACAGGCCCGCGAGCCCGGCCCACAGCACCAGCAGGACCCGCAGCGGCACGGCCAGGTCCAGGTGCGACAGCAGGAAGCGGGACACCAGCGCCGCTCGGCTCGCCTGACCCGCCGGGAACGAGTCGGGACTGGAGTGCCACGGGCCTCTCCGCCGGACCAGCTTCTGCACGCCGGCCACGGTCAGCAGGTCCAGCAGCAGCGCTGCAACAGAACACACTCCAATTACAGGAGACACAGCGGAGAGAGAGAGAGACAGCAGAAGCAGAGGTGCGCTACCGATCAGCAGGTTGATGAGCAGCTCCTGTCCCGCCGGCGAGTGGCTCTGGCTCAGACACACCAGGGTCCCGCAGACCCACGTGACCCCGTGACCCGTCAGCGCCAGCAGGGTGACCCCCGAGCGCACACTGGCCCACGGGGACCCGGCCTGGACGCACACACTCAGGCGCTTGGACAGGCATATGTCGACGGCGAGCAGCGAGCTCACGGCGATTCCTCTGAGCGACGGGTTGAGGAGCATGCGGTCTTCGTCCGCCGGCGTGTGTGTGTGTGTGTTCTCGCTCGCCTGGTTCTGCCCGGATCTTCTCCACGCTCTGCTGTGGTTCCGCGGAGGTGAGTTCAGGGACAGAAACTCGGGTCGACCCAGAACGCTAGTGCTAATGCCGCGATCCTTAGCTCTGGAGCGGCTCGGGTTCGCAGGCATGGCGCGAGATAATGAGCTAATGAGCTAACAAGCTAATGAGCTAACGAGCTAATGAGTTAATGAGCTAATGAGTTAATGAGTTAATGAGCTAATGAGTTAATGAGCTAATGAGTTAATGAGTTAATGAGCTAATGAGCTAATGAGCTTCAGGTGTGGATTCTGGAAAATATTGTTAGGCTTATATAGGCTTAATATTATAGGCAGTTTTGGGTAAGTTACTCTAAAAAAGTAATTAATTACTAGTTACTAATTACCTCTTTAACAGTGTAATTAGATTATAGCACTAATTACTCTAAAAAGTATTTAATTACTTTTAATTACTAACTACTTTCAAAATCCCATATCAATCTCAACCAGCTGGATAATACAAGGATAGACATGAATCTGTTTTAATTCTTTCAAATAAATACTATAAAATTGCATGAATTATCCTTAAACTGACTAAATTGGAGAAGGTTACATTATAAAAACAGTTTTTAGCATCAGACGATACATTGATGTTAAACCCACTATTGTTTTATGTCTGATCTCATGACATTTCACACTTTTTCATACATATTTTACAATAATTCATACGAATTTGTACGAGTGCGGTCGTAATATTTAGACACCTCATAAAATGCGAGATCGGTTAGATCGGATTGATCCATACACAGTATTCACCTCAATTACATCAGAAGTAACTGTGATTAAATTACAGGTAAATGAAGAGTATTCCCTTACTTTACATTTTTTATGAAAAATTACAGTAACTTACTTAGTAATTAGTTACACCCAACACTGATTATAGGCTTATAAATAAATAGTTGACTTATTTTGTTTGGGTGACCAGTTGCAGCATTAGATCATTATGTCACTCACAGTTTTGATTTCATTGTAACTGGCCTTGCGATATGAAAATGGTTTGATATTATGTAATGATTGAAATGGTTGAGTGAATGTTTCAATGACTCGAAGTCTCTCTCCTCCGACTGGAGCAACACTAAACCTGCAGAAAGACGCTGAAAATGAAGAAAATGTTTCATTTCATAACCAACTTTTTTCCTATAATTATGAATTAGTATGTCATAATTTCAACTTTTTAAAAACCTAAAAAAAATTACACACAGATACATGTTTACAGTGTTGTAGTACTCGAGACTCGGACTCGGTCTCGAGACAATATTTTAATGGTCTTGGTCTTGTCATGGACTCGTGTTCATTTGGACTCGGAATTGACTCGTACTCGAACATTTTTTTTTTTTTAGGACTCGGAATTATTCCCGAGTCCACTCGAGTTCAATTAAAAATATTCTTCATGATTATTAATGTATGTTAATAAAATATTTCTTTAAATTGATTGACACGCCCAGTGATTGGTGATTTTCTAGTGCGCAACTGCGCATGACAAATTGTAATAAATTACTTTTAACACCACCTACTATGTGGCCTTTTTACCCTAAACTGATCATATTTTTTAAACTCTAAGTAAATTCAGTAAAAAAAAAAAAAGCATTTCTCTAAGTAAATAAAAGTAAATTAGGTAATCAACCCTCACTGGTCTCCGTCTCGACTCGGACTCGACTCTCTCTGGTCTCGGTGTCGACTCGGACTCGACTCTCTCTGGTCTCGGTGTCGACTCGGACTCGAGTGAGGTGGTCTCGACTACAACACTGTTTTTGTTTCAGTCACTGTAAAAAATGCATTTTATGAAGATTATTGGAGTACAGTATGTTTTACAAGAAAATAGCATTTCAGGGTTTCTACTTGAAACTTAAACTTTTCTTAATTGTCTTGACTATTTAACCAACCCTAACCAGCATGTTTAGCATTTTAAACATACATAGCCTACAATTTGTCCCCAAAATATGGTTAAGTAGGAACACACACAAACACAGTCTCAGTCCTATTGGAGCATTAATGCTTATGTCTTTACTGTCCAAACGCTGAAAATGTCAGAGAAAAAATGAGCGTTCATCATGATAACAATAAAACAGAACAATTACTACAAGCATCCATCTCGTTTATATAGTCCTAACCCACTGGCCTACCTCAGATCATGATCCCGCTCACACTCGCATCAATTCACACGCTCAGAAACGTTATAAACATCTTTACATATTATAAACATGTATTTGCCAGAAGAGCTTTCGCATCCATCACGGTCCGCCTCACAGCAACACCACTACTATGGTGAAGTGCGCTTTTAATCAATATTAATTAGCCACGCCCACTAGTCACGCTGATTGGCTGCAAGACACACCGCTGACGAATGAAGGTTCGCCTCATGAATATAAGTCCGATCACGTGACTAGATGCTGCCGTGACGTCACGTGGTTTAATGCATATTAATGATAGATATTAATGAGCTCTGTCTTCACCGTAGTAGGAATCGCAAATCGCACAGCATTTTTACCTGAGGTTGGCGTTCTCCAAGGTGCTTAAACGGGGACTATCGATCGTTCGTTATTATTATCTTTTACACACGAATCGCTTGATATTTAAAATATGTGTTTTTAGATATATCTAGGTAATTGCGCTATTTACTTCTGAAGCATTTCTCGCTTTTTGCCTGAAATCACTTTAGAATATACAGAAATTTACCAAATTTCGTCTGTTTTGACAAATTTGATCTTTCAGAATTCATGTGGTCAGCCTCAACACATCCACTCTGTTAAGAGAAATAATGAAAAAAAGTCAACTTTTCGGTTAGGTTGCTGATTTTAGCTCAGAATATCCTTTCTGTTAGTGTCCACCCTGACAATCACTATACACTCTCAGTGTCTACTCTGTTAGCTCTTCTGATTTAACAAAGTAATTTATGCTTAAAGAAGAAGAAGATGTGTATAGTTCTTTGGTAATCTTTTTATATTTTGTTTCCTGTCAATATCCAGTTCAAACAGTAACTGGTTGTTGTTTGTGAGAGATACAGAATCATCCATTCATTATTTATACCACTCGTCCACCCTGTTTTTACTTAATCAATTCTATTTTTACTTTTTCCACTTTCTTATTACTTACTCCACCCTGTTATTACTTACTCCACTCTATTATTACTTAATCCACCCTGCTATTACTTAATCCACCCTGTTATTATTTAGTCGACCCTGTTATTACTCAGTCTACTCTATTATTACTTATTCCACCATTACTTAGTCCAATATTATTATTTAGTTCAAAATTATTATTTTGTCCACTCTGTTATTACTTGGTCCACAATTATTACTTAGCCCACTCTATTTTTACTTAGTCCGCTGTTATTACTTAGTCCACTCTGTTATTACTTAGTCCACTGTTACTACTTTGTCCATTCTATTATAACTCATTCCACTCGGTTATTACTTTGTCCACTGTAGTTACTTTATCTACTGTTAATACTTTATTACTTAGTACACTGTTATTAATTAGTCCACTCAGTTAGTACTTAGTCCAGACTGTTATTACTTAGTCCACTCTGTCATTATTTTGTCCACTCTGTTATTACTTAATCCACTCTATTATTACTTAGTCCACTATTATTACTGAGTCTACTCTATACTTAGTCCACCCTGTCATTATTTTGTCCACTCTGTCATTACTTAGTCCAGACTGTTATTACTTTGTCCACTCTTTTAATACTTAGTCCACTGTTATTACTTAGTCCACTCTGTACTCAGTTCACCCTGTCATTATTTTGTCCACTCTGTTATTACTTAGTCCAGACTGTTATTAATTAATCCATTTTGTTATTACTTAGTCCACCCTGTCATTATTTTGTCTACTCTGTTATTACTTAGTTCACTGTTATTATTTAGTCCACTCTGTTATTAATTAGTCCACCCTGTCATCATTTTGTCCACCAATCATAAGTATTTTATACTCTTCTTTTGTCCCCAACAGGGTTAATACTTTTGATCTACCATTTCACTGATTTTGTTTAACAAATGGTTGAATGTATTTACCTGAGCTTGACCAAGATAATTTAAATATATATATTTACATCACTGTAGCTGCAGCATATCATGATTACATCATATAATGATTAATTATTATACGTAAAAAATATTATTTTTCTAAATTTTGTGAGAAATGAATGACCCTGATAGGCTTTTGGTTACCTGGAGATGGACAATACAATTACAATTCTTATTTTATTTGTGAAATATCATATCCACAAAGCAAAATACATATCAACTATATTAAATATGGCAGACTGTTTCCACTCATTTAAATATATTTTATGTCTCGCTAATCACGACAAAGAAAAGTAGTAGTGTTGAACAGAAGAACTACACACCCCATGTTGCGCGCATGGCGAGGCGGAAGTGACGTCACAGGCGCTCGGAGTCGAGCAGCTGCAGCTGATGCAGTGACTCTCACAGCGCTGCGGGACGGAGGCTGAGACACAGGGATGAGGATGAAGAGGATGATGGATTATAATAACCGATGAAGGGAGACGGGGCAATGGACTGTTCAGTACAACATGTGTGTTCGTGACAGCGGGACTGATTCATTCATCTCTCATGTTTATTAATTACAGGCTGATGAAGTTCACCTGGATGCGGCGGCGCGCGACACGGATCGTTCACTCATTAGTGCACGAGAAAGTGAGCTTCCTCCAAATGAACCTCAAGGACAAACTCACAGAACACCACGACAATGTGAATATCCAATGCAAAAAAATGACTTTTCCTGTGTCCTTTTTGATACCCAAGCACACTATAGCAATTATAAATATTTGTTTTTGCCCGCAACATGCCAACAGTAGCCTATCCTGAGCCGATGGGTTTAACCTATTTGTTTTAATCTGAAACCAGTGTTTGTGAGAGTTATGACGCAGAAATGCCCGCTTGATGAAGATTGGAGAAGATTAATATGTGTGAGCTGAGCGGTTCGCCAATGACGGACAGTTGACGAACATTGTTTTTACTTATTTTCTTTTGTTTTCTTTTAAATAAGAGGAGCGCCGTTCCGTTCCGCCCTGACGCGACACCGCGACGCGTCGTTTGGAGTTTCTGAGAGCGCGTATTCTGAGTGACAGCGCGTTGTGCGCGTTATTCTGAGGGACAGCGCGTCGTGAGCGTTATTCTGAGGGTTGATGTTCTGCTGGCCGCTCGCGCTGCTTGTGATGGGCTGTATTCAGAGTATCAGATGCAAACCCAAGAGTTTCCGCGACAGCGTCATGGTTCTGGAGGTCAACTCGTCCATCGACCCGAACCCCACCAGCATCGATGAGTCCTCCAGCGTGGTGTTGCGTTACCGCACGCCGCACTTCCGCGCCTCAGCCCGGGTCATCGTGCCGCCCGTGGCCGGGAAAGAGAGCTGGACGGTCGGATGGATTCAGGCGTGCAACCACATGGAGTTTTACAACAAATACGGATCGAAAGGGATGTAAGTAAAAAAATGCTGTTACAATTGCCCAACACTATGGGAACACTTTATTTTACAGTGTCATTGTTGCATACAGTGTGTTTACATATACTTACCATAGTAATAACTAATAACATTTAAGTATGCATGCCACTAACCCTGGAAACACTTTATTTTACATATGTTACATGTACTTACCGTAGTAATAATTGCATAATTACTTGCAACTAACCCTCAACCAAACCCTAACCCTATAGTAAGTACATGCACTTACTTAATAGTATATATAATTACACTGTAACAATGACACCTAAAAATAAAGTGTAACCCAAACCCTCAGCCAAACCCTAATCTTATAGTATGTATATAGTTAGTAATATCACTTAGTAGGCTACTTAAATATCTAATTACACTGTAACAAAGTCACCTTAAAATAGTGTAAGCAACACTATAATGCAAGAGTTTTCAGACTGGGGTCCAGAACCCACAAGGGCCGCCATAGGGGTCCAAAACACAAATAAATAATTAAAATGTTTAAACAAAACAAATAAAAAACTATTAATATACATAAATGTACAGACTGCAATTGTTTTTAAAGTTCATATTTAATTACAGAAACGGCAAGAAACTCGACATTAAACTTGAAATGATGCAGGAAAACTAATAATCTTTATTTTATTTACAACTGACTACTCATCACAAGCACTTACAACAGCAGTAAATTATGCATAATTACATGCAATTAATCTGAAGTTTTTAATTGATATCACTCAGTATAATAATGTAACGTATAACTGTAATTACCAGCAGCTCCACAGGATAATTACACATTAATTACATGGAGTTTATTAGCAGTAATGTTGAACTCTTGGATTTGGGTTTTTGTTTTATTTAGGGTTAGAAATGTGCATGCATAATTTATATTATAGTTATTACTATAGTAATTACATGTGTAACAAGGACACTAAAGAGTCACACTTTCTGTTACAGTGTAATTATACATTTATGTACTGAGTCATAAGATTAATTAACTCCATGTACTTGCTATAGGGTTTGGTTGTGGGTTAGTTGCATGTAATTATACATAATTTATAGTTATTACTGTAGTTACTACATGTAACTTGTGTATCAAGGTCAATAAAATAGTGGTTACACTCTTTGTTACAGTGTAATTATACATTTATGTACCGAGTGATGTACTATAGGGTTTGGTTAATAATGCATAATTTATTGTTATTACTAACTACATGTAACGTGTGTAACAAGGACACTAAAATAAAGAGTTATGATTTGCATATGCTTTTTATACATGATACGTCTCAGTGTTTTCAGTGATTTACTTTTATATTCTCACAAGAGAACAATCAAATGTGTGTGTATAATATGATGTGACCTAAACACACATTAGCTGTCGGAGTGTGTGTGATGATCTGATGGTGTAACACAAGCGTGGCGTGACATTACAGCACATCGTTAGAGGTTCACTTGTCCTACTTCCTGTTGAAGACACTACGCTCTGCCCTATTTCCTGTATGAGAGAGACGAACCCTCTCTAAGATGATGTCTGGAGACGTGAGATAAGCAGACGCATTTAAAAGAAGTGACGACACACTGATATCAAACATGCGAACGCAGATCTTTAAGAAAACATCAAAAATATCGTTTTTGTTTCACTTCCTGTGTAGGTGGATAACATCATATCCTTTATAACAGTGCTTTATAGTAATAACATCTACTTCTCAGACACGTGATTGCATGTTGCATTGCATAATCACAGTTAAATGAAATGAGTTATAGTGAAAATTTACATTAAATGCAATTAGCTGAACTTTGACGTGTTTATGAGCTGCTTTATATGTAATTTCAGCATAACTTCCAGAAAACCCTACTAAAAATATATATATACTTTAATGTAATTTCTAATGAAACCTTGTATTTAAATCTATTTTTAATTACACATTTGTTATGGATGCAATTTAGTACATTTAAAATATATTAATATGTAAAATTTAGTGCTGGGCAACAATTAATCGCATCCAGAATAAAAGTTTGTGTTTATATAGTATATGTGTGTATAATTATTAATACACATGCATGTATATATTTAAGAAATATTTGCATGTACATACTGTATATATGTATACATAATTATTTAGATTAAATTAATTGAATATAATAAGAATTATATTAAATATATAAGATAATATATATTATAATAATGATTAATAATAATTAAATTATTACGAAATATACATATTTTATATATAAATAAAAAAAATTCTCAAATATATACATGCGAGTGTGTGTATTTATATTATACACACATATATTATATAAACACAAACTTTTATTTTGGATGCAATTAATCGTTGCCCAGCATTAGTAAAATTGAATAATATTTACTCTTATATCTGATATCTGGAAGAACGTGTTTCATTTTTTCAGTGTTTATTCTGGAACTTTTACTGCAGATTTTATTGCATTATTTAGTTTCACATTTTGTCCTTTTTGCAGTTTTCCAGATGTGTGTTTTAGGACGTTACAGCCGGACGAGATGTGTGTAACGGCAGACGTAACCTCTGATAACACACACCACACACACTGCTGTTTCGGTCAGATAACGTTGGTCCCGTCGAACACACACATCTCGCATACTCTCTCTCTCTCTCTCTCTCTCTCTCTCTCTCACACACACACACACACTCTCTCTCTCTCTCTCTCACACACACACACACTCTCTCTCTCTCTCTCTCTCTCGTTCTCAGATCAGTCGAGCTGGAGAGATGATGGTTGAGCCGGAAACCACACGTTATTTAACACTGACGTTTCCACTGCCGCTGAAGAGGTTTCGTTACAGAGATCAAAATGAGCTTCATGAACATGAACTTGATCACTGATGCAAACTTACACATCTACAGTCATATCCTGACAGCCGTGCACAACACCAGCGGTTATGAACACAGGCGGTTATGAACACAGGCGGTTATGAACACAGGCGGTTATGAACACGATTTGAACAGATAACTGAGTACAAAAAACTCAAAAAACTCTCCCTCTCTCTCTGACTCTCTCACACACACTCTCTTTCTCTCTGACTCTCTCTCTTTCACACACACACACACACACACACACTCTCTCTCTCTTTCTCTCTCACACTCTCACACTCTCTCTCTCTCTCTCACACACACACACTCAGAGCATTTCTATTCTTATTCCCCTGATGATAATCAAAGCCCCTCGTGTGTTCATGTCATGTGGATATTTCCCATGATGCTCTTGTGCTGATGTGTGAGTTGTGGGAGAAAGGTCACGGTTTTCTTGCATCAGGGAATCGATGCTCTAGTGCTGAATCCACTGAAACTGTGAAGGTCATCGAGAGCCGCAGTAACGGGGCGTTCAACATCGCTTCAAATACACCCCTCTCTCTCTCTCTCTCTCTCTCTCACACACACACACCCCTCTCTCTCTGCAGTGAAACACAAACAAGATCTTTAGCAGACTGTTCACGCATGTTTTGACTGCTAATGTTACATTTAAAAAATCGTGTTAATTCAGGATCATTTTGACATTTTTTATAAACAAATTTTTTCGAAAACTCTTGCAAGATGTAAAGTGCTCTTCGGTACAGTTAAGTGCACTTTTTCTTCACAAGGCTAAAGTCAGAACATTTGGACCCCATAGAGATGTGATGGCTTGTCCTTTATGAAAGACCTCTTTTGTTCAGACTCGCTGTTCTATGTTTAACTCCCTCTAAATGCTAAAAAGCATCTCTTGCCCGTGGCGACGCGTGTTCTGGTTTCTCCAGTGCGCTTCATTCGGCCCAGTTGTCCCTCGTGACTCAGTGTCCCATCCTCTGGCGTCTCCTGAGGAAGTCTTTCCCGCAAAACTGTTCTGTTTCCCAGAGAAACTTTGCGTTTGCTTCCAAAACTTTTCCGTTTCCCAGAGAAACTTTGCGTTCGCTTCCAAGACTTTTCCGTTTCCCAGAGAAACTTTGCGTTTGCTTCCAAAACTTTTCTGTTTCCCAGAGAAACTTTGCGTTTGCTTCCAAGACTTTTCCGTTTCCCAACAAAACTTTGCGTTCGCTTCTAAAACTTTTCTGTTTCCCAGAGAAACTTTGCGTTTGCTTCCAAAACTTTTCTGTTTCCCAGATAAACTTTGCGTTTGCTTCCAAAACTTTTCCGTTTCCCAGAGAAACTTTGCGTTCGCTTCTAAAACTTTTCCGTTTCTCAGAGAAACTTTGCGTTTGCTTCCAAAACTTTTCTGTTTCCCAGATAAACTTTGCGTTTGCTTCCAAAACTTTTCCGTTTCCCAGAGAAACTTTGCGTTCGCTTCTAAAACTTTTCCGTTTCCCAGAGAAACTTTGCGTTCGCTTCTAAAACTTTTCCGTTTCCCAGAGAAACTTGGCGTTCGCTTCCAAAACTTTTCCGTTTCCCAGAGAAACTTTGCGTTCGCTTCTAAAACTTTTCCGTTTCCCAGAGAAACTTTGCGTTCGCTTCTAAAACTTTTCCGTTTCCAGAGAAACTTGGCGTTCGCTTCCAAAACTTTTCCGTTTCCCAGAGAAACTTTGCGTTTTCTTCCAAAACTTTTCCGTTTCCCAGAGAAACTTGGCGTTCGCTTCTAAAACTTTTCTGTTTCCCAGAGAAAATTTTGCGTTTCCTAGAGAAACTTTGCGTTTGCTTCCAAAACTTTTTTCGTTTCCCAGAGAAAAATTTGCGTTTCCCAGAGAAACTTGGTTTTCGCTTCCAAAACTTTTCCGTTTCCCAGAGAAACTTTGCGTTCGCTTCCAAAACTTTCGCGTTTCACAAGCAAACTTTGCGTTTGCTTCCAAAACTTTTCAGTTTCCCAGAGAAACTTTGCGTTCGCTTCCAAAACTTTTCTGTTTCCCAGAGAAACTTTGTGTTCACTTTCAATAGCTTTGCACATTTTAATACATTGCAAACATTTAATATAAATGCATCTTTTTAAAAATATACTTACAAGATGCACTACAGATATTTTTCAGAACAAACCTTCTCATGATCCTCTGGTGTTTCCTGCAGGTCCAGCTGGGAGCTTCCGGATCTCCGAGACGGGAAAATCCGAGCTATCAGCGACTCGGACGGCGTAAACTACCCCTGGTACGGCAACACCACTGAAACCTGCACCATTGTGGGTCCCACCAAGAAGGACACCAAGTTCACCGTCAGCATGAACGATAACTTCTATCCCAGTGTGACGTGGGGCATCCCGGTGAGCGACTGCAACGTTCCCATGCTGAGCAGCATCCGTAGGGATCAGAGCTTCACCACGTGGCTGGTGGCGATCAACCAGGCGTCTGGAGAGATCCTGGTTCTGCAGACGGTGCGCTGGCGCATGCGTCTCCACATCGAGGTGGATCCCGAGAAGCCGTTGGGAATGAGAGCGAAGCTTCAGGAGCCGATCCCGCAGGAGCAGCCGCAGGTTCTGGGAAAGAACGAAGCCATCCCGCAAAATGCCATGGTGAAGCCCAACGCCAACGACGCGCAGGTGCTGATGTGGCGTCCGCGGGTCGGAGAGCCGGTGGTTGTCATTCCTCCCAAACACTGAGACCGGAATGAGCTTCCACCAAAACGGGTCGGGAATCACTGTGCTAAACGCCACTGCAAAAATACAAGGCTTTTTTGTGTGTGTGTGGGAATATTGCTCGATGAAACGCGACGTCTCTGACGAATGGAAAGAGGGTCCGGCTCAATCCATACTCTAGTGGACTGATCATTTCAAGGGTATCAAACGCCAATCTATCTAGTGCACTGAAACGCTCTCTCACTTAAAAAGTCCCACAATGCACCGCAAAACCAGGGAGCATTGGGGAAATTCTGAAGTGGGAATCGACTCTTGGAAAAAATATGAGATGGGAGGAAAAGATGCATGTCAATGTTTTTCTGTTTCCCAAGAAAACGTTGCGTTTGCTTCCAAAACTTTTCTGTTTCCCAGAGAAACTTTTGCGTTTCCCAGAAAACGTTGTGTTTGTTTTCAAAACTTTCGGGTTTCCCAGAGAAACTTTGGTTTCGCTTCCAAAACTTTCGCGTTTCTCAGAGAAACTTTGGTTTCGCTTCCAAAACTTTCGCGTTTCACAAAGAAACTTTGCGTTTGCTTCCATAACTTTTGCGTTTCCCAGATAAACTTTGCGTTCGCTTCCAAAACTTTTCGGTTTCCCAGAGAAATTTTGCGTTCGCTTACAAAACTTTTCCGTTTCCCAGAGAAACTTTGCGTTCGCTTACAAAACTTTTCCGTTTCCCAGAGAAAATTTTGCGTTTCCAAAATGTGCGTTCGCTTCCAAAACTTTTCCGTTTCCTAGAGAAACTTTGCGTTCGCTTCCAAACCTTCTCCGTTTCCTAGAGAAACTTTGCGTTCGCTTCCAAAACTTTTCCATTTCCCAGAGAAACTTCGCTAGTTTCACTTCCAAGTTTTCCATTTTCCGTTTCCCAGAGAAACTTTTGTGTTTCCCAGAAAAACTTTGCGTTTGTTTCCAAAACATTCTTGTTTCACAAAGAAACTTTGCGTTCGCTTACAAGACTTTTCCGTTTCCAAGATAAACTTTGTGTTCGCTTCCAAAACTTTTGCGTTTCCCAAAGAAACTTTGCGTTCGCTTCCAAAACTTTCGCGTTTCCCAGAGAAACTTTGCGTTCGCTTCCAAAACTTTTCCGTTTCCCAGAGAAACTTTGCGTTCGCTTCCAAAACTTTTCCGTTTCCCAGAGAAAATTTTGCGTTTCCAAAATGTGCGTTCGCTTCCAAACCTTTTCCGTTTCCTAGAGAAACTTTGCGTTCGCTTCCAAACCTTTTCCGTTTCCTAGAGAAACTTTGCGTTCGCTTCCAAAACTTTTCCATTTCCCAGAGAAACTTCGCTAGTTTCACTTCCAAGTTTTCCATTTTCCGTTTCCCAGAGAAACTTTTGTGTTTCCCAGAAAAACTTTGCGTTTGTTTCCAAAACATTCTTGTTTCACAAAGAAACTTTGCGTTCGCTTACAAGACTTTTCCGTTTCCAAGATAAACTTTGTGTTCGCTTCCAAAACTTTTGCGTTTCCCAAAGAAACTTTGCGTTCGCTTCCAAAACTTTCGCGTTTCCCAGAGAAACTTTGCGTTCGCTTACAAAACTTTTCCGTTTCCCAGAGAAAATTTTGCGTTTCCAAAATGTGCGTTCGCTTCCAAACCTTTTCCGTTTCCTAGAGAAACTTTGCGTTCGCTTCCAAACCTTTTCCGTTTCCTAGAGAAACTTTGCGTTCGCTTCCAAAACTTTTCCATTTCCCAGAGAAACTTCGCTAGTTTCACTTCCAAGTTTTCCATTTTCCGTTTCCCAGAGAAACTTTTGTGTTTCCCAGAAAAACTTTGCGTTTGTTTCCAAAACATTCTTGTTTCACAAAGAAACTTTGCGTTCGCTTACAAGACTTTTCCGTTTCCAAGATAAACTTTGTGTTCGCTTCCAAAACTTTTGCGTTTCCCAAAGAAACTTTGCGTTCGCTTCCAAAACTTTCGCGTTTCCCAGAGAAACTTTGCGTTCGCTTCCAAAACTTTTCCGTTTCCCAGAGAAACTTTGCGTTCGCTTCCAAAACTTTTCCGTTTCCCAGAGAAACTTTGCGTTCGCTTCCAAAACTTTTCCGTTTCCCAGAGAAAATTTGTGTTCGCTTCCAAAACTTTTCCGTTTCCCAGAGAAACTTTGCGTTCGCTTCCAAAACTTTTCCGTTTCCCAGAGAAACTTTGCGTTCGCTTCCAAAACTTTTCCGTTTCCCAGAGAAACTTTGCGTTCGCTTCCAAAACTTTTCCGTTTCCCAGAGAAACTTTTGTGTTTCCCAGAAAAACTTTGCGTTTGTTTCCAAAACATTCTTGTTTCACAAAGAAACTTTGCGTTCGCTTACAAGACTTTTCCGTTTCCAAGATAAACTTTGTGTTCGCTTCCAAAACTTTTGCGTTTCCCAAAGAAACTTTGCGTTCGCTTCCAAAACTTTCGCGTTTCCCAGAGAAACTTTGCGTTCGCTTCCAAAACTTTTGCGTTTCCCAGAGAAACTTTGCGTTCGCTTCCAAAACTTTCACGTTTCCCAGAGAAACTTTGCGTTCGCTTCCAAAACTTTTGTGTTTCCCAGAGAAACTTTGTGTTCGCTTCCAAAACTTTCGCGTTTCCCAGAGAAACTTTGCGTTCGCTTCCAAAACTTTCACGTTTCCCAGAGAAACTTTGCGTTCGCTTCCAAAACTTTTGTGTTTCCCAAAGAAACTTTGCGTTCGCTTCCAAAACTTTTCCGTTTCCCAGAGAAACTTTGCGTTCGCTTCCAAAACTTTTCCGTTTCCCAGAGAAACTTTGCGTTCGCTTCCAAAACTTTTCCGTTTCCCAGAGAAACTTTGCGTTCGCTTCCAAAACTTTCGCGTTTCCCAGAGAAACTTTGCGTTCGCTTCCAAAACTTTTCCGTTTCCCAGAGAAACTTTGCGTTCGCTTCCAAAACTTTTCCGTTTCCCAGAGAAACTTGGCGTTGGCCCTTAAAGAACTCAAAATGTTTCGTGAGCGAACGCAAAAGCATTGACATGTAATATTTATGCACGTTTCTTTTTTGTCCCATCACCATGTTCCTTTAGGCGCTCCATAGAACACAATCGTGCTAATGATAGATGTTTAAAATATATATTTTAGTCAAATGAAGTCAGCTTTATTTCTACAGGACTTTATACAATGCAGATTGTTTCAAAGCAGCTTCACAGTGATAAACAGGAAAACAATGACAGACAGGTGGTGAACATAATCCCGCTACTATTTATATAAGACATCTACAGCTGAAACGTTGAAGGGAATTGTGTTTATCCGAATATACTCTAAATTACATTACAAAAAATAATTTGTGCTGCTGTTGTTTATAAACACCAGGATATTGTCATGTTGTGTATTGACTGACGATCTAGGGATCTAGCGAGTGGATTGAGACGCACCCAGACTGTTCGATTCACGCTGCCTTAAGTTTACATTGCTTTAACTGCAAACTTTTCGCCTTAAATCAAGTGCAATGCAGTAAACCTCGCACATCCTACCTGTCAGACCCGGTGAACCCAAACCAGGACACCGAACCGGAGCGGGACGCCGTTATTATTATGCATTCAGTGTTTCCAACGGGAGCTTCAGTGTGTGTGTGTGTGTGTGTGTTGACCAGACACTGATGCACTTCTGCTGTATTTTACAAGAGCAAGTATATATTTTCTACTACATATGAGTTGTCAGCCATTGCTGTGTCAAGACGTCGTGGCCAATTAATAGAGTTATTACGAACGAACGATCAGTTTGAATGGAGGAACGGCGACAGGAGCGCTGGACAATCCTCACGGATCTGCTCCTGACATCAAACTAGAGACAAACTTGTGTTTCCAAGCGACACAATTCAACAGAACTGCACATTATCCGCTCTGCTGTTTGCTGTCATACAGCGATGTTTAATGAAATCAACTTGCAGTCGAAACTCTGGAATAATTCATGATTGTTATATTAGAGTGATTTCTGAAGGGTCATGTGACACTGAAAACTGCTGGAAATTCAGGAATAAATGACACTTTACTGTATATTCACATAGAAAACAGCTTTTTGATCAAATAAACGCAGCTTTGATGAGACTTTAAAAACATTCAAATCTGAATTATTCCAGACTTTTGACTGATAGTGTATACTTTAATATTTAAATAGTGTATTGTGTGCATTGCAGTGCTGAGGGTTCATGCGCTCAAGCTTTTGGGTCCGGTCAGTATTTTAAACTCAAACGCACAGACTTCAGCGCTTCCTCATGCCATTTGTTATTGATCACGTTGAAGGCCTTATTCCACTGAAATGTGATCGAGTTGATGCTAGAAACCCGTCAGGACGATGTTGTGAGTGACGTGACATTAAACATGCAGTGAATGCTGGGATACGAACAATGTGACTCCGTGTGGATCATGTAAAGCGCTCAGCGGCTACGCCATCATTGCAGAACACGCTTTTGGATGTTTTATTTGATGTGTGTGTGTGTGTGTGTGTGTGAGAGAGGTTTCTGATTATTTGTACCTCCAGCAGACTTTTATCTTTTATCCATCATTATTAAACGTTCATGTTTATTTCAAGAATCCTGCGATACATGAAATGTGAACATTTAAAAATTTACAATAAAAATTGATTTTATTTAAAAATAAATACAAATTAGATTACAATAAATAAATAAATAAAACTAATGTTAATAGAACTTTCGTTCAACGTTATCTGGCGTTTAATAATGTTCTCAGCACAAAAACATTCACGTCCACAATAAATCGTTGAGTTTTGGATATGAAATTATAATGTTAAGTTTGATTAGTTTGATTAGCGGAACGTTTATACTGTGTTTGTGTGTGTATGAGCGAGTGTGTGTGTGTGATAAAGAGAGTGTGTTAGTGTCTGTGTGTGTGTGGTGTCAGACTTTTCTCTTTCCAGAAGGAACGCTGGTGTTTCAGATCGTTTTATAGCTCTGACATTAATACTTGAAACACAGAAGTGGGAAATATGTCGTTCTGTGAAGATGCGAATGCAAAACTTTCAAGCACAGCTGAATTTTTCATGAGGAATAAAACTGTGAAGTTCAGCAGAGTTTCTTGTCTTCATTCGCCGTCTCTGTTGTGATTCAATATTACAGATTAATACTTTAATGACACTGGCAAGAGCTGTTTAATAAAGACAGACAGCAGAAAACACTGAAGAACAAGAGCATGGAATCAAATCCACACACACACACACACACACACGCGCACACTCACATCCTGCCACATATTGCAAAACACACACACACAAATCTATGCCGCATATTTTTGCAAAATACAAACACTTAAACACACACACACACACACACACACAC